AAAAAAATCCTGCAACCTTCACATGCTTTTAACAGGATCCACATGTGATACCTTAAAAATTCCAATGGATGAGGAAGGAAGTGGATAGTCATAGTAATCTGCTTTACAAAGAAACCTATGGCCTGCTAATAATATATCACCATTCGGTGCAACTATAACTTCGATTAAAATAAAAATTTTTCCATCTTTTGATGAGAAACAGCAATTAGCTTCATTAGTTGTAAGAGTTACACCCTTTAAATTTATTTGTGCATAACGGTTTCCAGGAATTTCCGGAACAATATTTCTAAACAACTGCTTCTTTAATGTAATTTTATTCGGATTTGGCCTTCTTGACTCTGTAACAAGTTGCCCCTCTGTCTCAATGTCCCTGTTAGCTAACTGCTGGAGAGGCTTATAAGTTGAACGCAAGTTATGTTTAATCACAGCCATAAAAGACTCGTACTTAAAAGCACTGAAATCCAAAATCGTCCCATTTTCTTGGCATTCAGCAGCCATGTGACACAGACAATGTACATTGTATACCACATATGATTCATCAAAAACATCAATGGAATGCCTGATGAACTCACGATATATATTGTCAGCAATAACAATCCAATGATTGCTTTTGACAAATTCAGGGGATGACAGAATATAAGATGCAGAATGAATTAATAGAAAGTTCTTGTATATATAAGTATTTTCATGAATCTTGTATCGAAAAATTCGCACTCCATCATACAAAAGAAGACGCCTCCACTCAGTTGCTTTAAACTTGGCTTGATAATACAAAGATCTCGGTCTACGACTGAATTCCATGGGGATCCAAGGAGCAATGTCAATCATACCAGAACATAAATTGAAACATGCTAACCTTGAGATTTTACCATATGTGATAGCTTGATACCCACAGAGATATTGAACCCATCTTTTAAAAGCTCCTTCAAATAACAAATGCATGGGATCTAAACGAAACTGTGAAATCATTCTATTGTTGTCACTTCTCATGGCTTCTAGGGGCGAATCTCCATCATGATGATCAAGCTGATCCTTTCTCCTAAAGGATTCATCTGTACGCAATGGTGCATTAAAATCCAAAAAGATTTCACGATTTCTAAAACGCGCACCTCTTACTGTGCACTTTTCACATGCATAAACACTGTTGTGACTTGAAATACATTTTACATATTGTCGTGCTACAGCATCGAGTATGTAATTCCCGATTTTAAAGGGAAAGCGGCTGCCATGAAAGTTATAACCATTCAGTGCTAATTCATCAACTTCATGAATAAAGTCCGTTAAAAAAGCATTAATACTGTCTGCTTTTCCAAAACCATGCCACACACCTATGATGAATGGTACAGCTTCTCCTATCAGACAACCTAGTATACACCAGAAATTATCATCAGTGCTGCTAAATAATGCCAAACCATCAATGTTTACATCAATAATAATTTCTTTGCGTTCCAGCAAGTAATCATCTGTGATCCTTTGATTTAAATTAGCAATGATACCTTTGTACCACATTGAACCTTCACCATTACGTTGCAATTCAACTCTGCGTGGGGTTTGCAGTAAAGTCTTGTGAGACTTTGGTAAAGAGCTATGGAGGGGTCTTAGCCCTGCAAGAAGTTCATCAACTTTCCTATGTGCAACACCCCTCATTGCCCATTCCTTCAAAAACCTTGACATGTATTTATCAGAATCCTCTGCTGACTGAATGTCATTCTGGTCCTGGATATTAATTGCAAACTCTTCATCTAAATCAATATCAACGGCTTCAGCCTCCGCTTCTTGCTCAAAACTAGTATTGCAATCATTGTGATCTAATTCATTATCATCACTGGAAAGATTGTTTCGGTTCTCCTCCACCTCTGAATAAACTAATGAATCATCCCCGACTGAATGTTGATCATGGCTTCCTACCTCAAAAACTTCTAATGCATCATCAACTTGTGATAAAGTTTGTCTTACTTCTTCGGTATAAAGACGCTTTCTGACTACTTTTACAGATGCAGCATGCAACTTGCGTTTCATACTTCACTTTACAATAGACTAAAGAGGATAATACCTGAATGACAAAATATCAACAAAGTTAACAAAAATAATATTGCAACACCATGATAACACAACAACACATGTTGAAACACATGAAAGAGAAAAGATTCTAGGTGGGTAGAAAGCTCCTTTTCACTCTTCAGCTTCATTTTCTTGTCAACAGGACTTTCCTAATTCAAATGTGATCATGCCGTCCTCTCTAACATTATAAATCAAAAGTGAGGTTAGGCGGGCCGGCACATTACGCCGAAATAAACAGCTTCATTCTATCTGAATGTTGTAAAAAATGTAAAACGAATACAATAAAAAAAATTTTTTTTAAATACTAAGCTCACACTACACAATCCTAATACCTCAACTATCAAACAGAACTTTAAAGAATCGAAGGACTAATATTAGTTATTAGCAATTATAAATACCTGCTTTAATGGAGTCATTTTCTTCCTACTTCTAGGCACAGCTAAACCACGTCGAATACTTAAAACATAATAGACTGCGAAAACGCGGGTAATCCGTTTTCTTCTGATTTCTTCTGGAATTCTCTCGTTCTTTACTCTAAAGCTATGCTGAGCTATGCTAGCTAGCGCCTCGAGTGACTCTCGATCTCGATATTATTCGATACCTTCAATGTATCGATATATATATCGATGACGTCAAAATAACGTCAAAATGACGTCATTTTGATGTCACTGCAAGGAGCCTTGATGAAAAATTGATCATTTACAGTCAAAATGACATCATTTTGACATTATTATGACTTTTTGTTCTCCTTGGGTTGTAATATCATTTTGCCTTATCCATGTCACACATGATCATGTATGTAACAGCAAATGACTCCTTATATATATTTAAAATTTATTGTGTATATTCTTTTACATTAAATTATATTCTATAGATTTTGTCTTCAATGGATTATACAGTCAAAAATTAAATGACACGATATAAATCATATTTACGAGAGTTTTAAGTAGATATTATATGCTTAGTTATATTGATACTCCCAAATATTTTTCTAACAAAACGTATAAATATTTAAACAGATAAAAAAGTAACGTTTTTATCTGTTAAATTTTTCGATAAACTGTTCCACTCGAATAGTATGGGATTAAGATTCATACTTGTGTCGTCGCTTTTAATGAAGGACGTTTCCAAATTGAACTATTTTAATGCATTAACACTGGCCATTTGTTAACTACTTTCGTGAGAAATTTTTCTTGGTTTTCAGCATTCTAATGACAATTAATCAATTAACAACAATGTAACTATCCAACGTAACTACGCAAGTAACATTATGACATTAAATAACATATTAATAACATTATTGACGTTAGAAACGTCATTAAAATATCATTTAAATGTAATATAAGTTATGATAGGAAGATGGAGCGAATTAGTCAAATGAATAGGTTATTAATAAAAATAGCTTTTCATTCAGGAGCTTTACATCGAAGAAGACGTCGATGTGAGAAAAATACAACATGGATATCTAGTGTGAAAGTCATATAGAAATACAATTACAGCAAATGTATCATTAGTATTCTGGAAAAAAGACGATAGTTTAGATACGTTTCAAATATATATAAATTAATCTTTTGAATTTAGAAACGTCTGGTAGGTTGCCGATGACATTGTGAAATTCAAATCACTACAACTGCTTCACTTAGTTATCCTCAAACTCTCCGGATATGGGCTAATGAGCCTTACTGTAGGTGTCCTTATTTTGATATCCTTGGACGTATCCAGACTGATCCGGTATATCTTTGCGACCTGACATACCTTTACCCTTTCCTGTCTCGTCGAAACGTTGTTTGTGAGAGCCAGTATATTTGCTAACATCAGTCAATCTATCGACTGTCAATGCTGCTTTTCCAGTCTATAAATTGTAGAAAAAAAAGAATGGTAGATGAATAAGGGCTATCGCACACAAATTGACATAACTGCATATGCATAGCATAAGACCGTATGTACCAATGAGCATCGAGTATTAAGTCGCCATATTGGTGTTCGATGCTTGATATTCGATGCTCATTGGTCCATACGATCTTATGCTATGCATATGCAGTTATGTCAATTTGTGTGCGATAGTCCTTACAGTGAAACGTCGTTTGTATCGCAAAACATAACGCAAGACGATAACGGCGCCATTAAATATACATGATATAGATAAGGTCAGAGATCGTATTCTTAAAATAGTTGTGTATATATAAGTTTTATTGCGCAGATATAATCGTATTATAAAATAGCTGTGCAATAAAACTTACGTATATACAATTATTTTAAGAATACCCAGTAGTCGGAAAAAAAATCGATTACGTATGTATAAAAATGTTGCTAATATTTCCTGGTTAAATAATTTTCCAAAAAAATCTTTTAAAAATTTCAAAATCCAATAAATTGTAAAAATTTAGATAAGAAATTTTATATAATATACTTATATAATAGTAGCGATACTGTGAATTATTTTGTAAAATTATAAAACATTCTGAGAAACATCCATAATTAAAACTTATTTTATAGGAAATACAGAAAATTTTGAAAAATTATATTATATCATTGTCTTTACACATTTCTTTCATATAAATAAAAATATATTTAGTCTATAAAAACATTTTTATTATATATGTAATTTTCTAAAAAAGAGGCGATTTCAATATTATTAGAAATTATAATATCATTAAAATTTTACACATGTTAATTTCTGTTAGAGAAAAAATGACTTGACATTTCTCATAAAAAATGATGAAAATGGAAAATAAATTTATATAATATATATATGATAAAAAATTTGTAAATAATATGTATTGAAACTTTAATAAAAAGGCTTATGTATAATTTAATTTAATTTTGATAACTCTCTCTTTAAACTAAAATAAAATAAGAATAAATATATTGTATATAATATAACAATATAAATAATATAACAATATTAAATTAAAATATTATAAAAAATGAGTAATTCGAAACTTCTTATTTTTCTTCAATTATTTTTTTCAACTTGATATAATAGGGAAATTTATGTCTTGAAAGTTGTTGCAAATTTAAATTCTCCTAAAATACCCTAGAGCATGTATTATGGAATTCTTCGGAATCAATTCTGATCAAAATAATTCCATTGTTGTCTAGATTTCTATTGTTTTTTTAAAAGGTTTCCCTAGTGTGTTGGGTCAGAAATTTCGAATTTTTTTTATTGCATTTTTTTGAAGTTTAACTTTTTAAAAATAACATCCCAAAATATTATAGCTGGTTTCTAAGTACTTATAAAGATATAAGTCTCGCAGCCGCGCCGCGCGCAGATATGATTAGTACGCTTTGCGGTCGGTTAGAAGGAGCCGGCTCTCGGCTGAACCTATCGTTGTTCTTAGAATTTAGTCTGGCGCTATCTTATATCTTAGTATATCATAAACAAACTTATTGGAAGAAAGGACTCTAGTAAATTAACAGATAAATTAACAAACGATTTTCAAAGTTACTTTGAATTGGCAATTACAAGACACGTGGATTCAATAGAAGATATGCAGAAAGTCATTTGGGCTACTTATTATCACAAATGCTTAAATGATAAAAAAACCGCAGCATGCGTATTGCCCAGCCGGAGAGGAGAGTTGGTATGCATGGCGTCGAACGGAGGCTGCGGGAACAGTGAAGTATTTCACTCACAATCCGCCGCTCATCGAAACTGTTCAGAAAGTGATTAAGCCGGTTTATGGAGATTTATCTAAAGATGATTTATTGGAACACTGTTTAGGCGGCAATACGCAGAATGATAACGAAAGCTACAAGCTTGTTGTGGCACTTCGCTCCAAAACATTATATTGCGGTTTGAAAACAATTGAAATTGTCAATTATCTGGTCGTCGGCATTTTCAATGAGGATTACTACGCAGTCCTGAAAGTTTTTCAGACGATGGGAGTCGTCATTAGCCCAATAGCCAAGCAATTCGCCGACAAGCAAGACGATAAGCGATTGCGGATCACCGAGCGTAAACATCACGAGGTGACGGAGGTTCGCATAGCTAACAGAAAAGCTCAAGCTGCTCTGAACGAGTTTTATGAAAAAGAAAAAGATATTCTGTACGGCCTTGGAAGAGCTAATTAGCTGTAAGCATCATAAATTTCAAATTATATATTAAAAATATGTACGTAAAACTTTCAATGCGTTTTTCTCAAAACAGCATTTTTCAAACTGATCACCACAATAACTCGTGTGATCAAATGAATGGTCGAATCCATTTGAAGTTTTGAAGGTATATACAGTAGATGTATAGTTTTCGTTCGACCTGAAACTTTTTTGATGCGTTTAAAATAAAAAATGTGATATTCAAAAAACTATGCAATTTTTGCTAAAAATAAAGAAAAACAATAAATACACTATAATTTTTTTAAATTTTCAATATTTTTTGTGATTTTAGAGCAAACGATAGCTACATATATGCAGATTAAAAATTTTTTTGGTTTTTTGTTTCTGACAACTAGAACGGCAGCAATCATGGTTACAGTCCACAAACTTTTTTGGAGGCGCTCCGGTAGAATGGCTAGCACGCTGTTATTTACACATATATATACTTGAAAAAATTTTAATATATTCTTTAAATATAGTACAATATATACGAAAAGTGTTATATCAATTAGTTTCGTCGTTTTTATTTTAAAAATTCCTAAAAAATCACCCTTTAGGCTCTATCACATTAGGGGAACGCCTTAAAGGAGACGGAATTATTCCAATCGGATTCGATTCCAAAGTTGATTTTCTTCGAAATACTTTAATATATTATCGCGTTATACACATATTGATGTCTATGCGTTATTAGATACTACTAAGATACTGAACATGAAAACTTTACCGACACAACCCTGACTTTTTTCTATAAAGTTTACGTCTTGCTGCTTGCACAGAATTACAAATGCTTTTGTACAACAAAAATACATGCAAAAATTAATTGGAGCATTGCTCAATATGTGACGAAAACGAAAAAAATATTTTTATTGTTAAATTTTGAGCTGTCAGTTAGTGCAATATTTGTTTAATACAAAAATTCCGTAGGTTTCATATATCGAAACTGTGGATGATCCAATAAAAAAAATTTCAACGATTTTTATTATACTTTCAGAATTTAGTTTAGATGCCAAAAAAGGTACGAAAAGTTTGCAGAAAAATCATAGACTTAGTATATATAGACTGCGTATTGGGCTGAGCGGGCGTTACAGAATAGAAAGAGATAGCATGCTTTGAATCACCATTCTATCTTTTTTTAATGACACGTGGTGGGGACACTCCAGCCTCTTCTTATGTTTAGACTGGGGATTTACATTGGTTCTTCTACATAGTATGTTTCCCTCGAAGTGTTTTTATTACACACATATAAAATACTTTATTATCACAATATATCGATAATTATTCTGATTCTCTATATTATTTTTTCTCTTTTATGCCTTTCAATACCCCTTAATTTCTTTCTCACATTTTTCTTCTTATCTCCACTATGCGTCGTTAGAAAAAGACACAATGGTGATCCAAAGCATGCTCTTTCTATTATGTGACACGTTTAAGCTGTAGGAAACATTGAGAACACGCAGTCTATACATACTAAGTCTATAAGAAAAATTTATGACAATATGCGGTTAGATATTCCGACAAGAATGATAAAGTAGAACAGAAAATTAGTTTACGGATATTTTCCAGTGGACACTGTACTTTCTTCGCATATTTCATAACGTCAGAATATTCAGCGTGTATATATATATATATATATATATATATATATATATATATAGTATACATATACATACGTATATATACAGGGTATCCCACAACTGATAGAACACCCGTTAAGGGTAGGTAGGGGATGAAATTTGGAACTGAACTCAGGGACCTTGCTTATCCGTTTCTCCCCTTTTTTGTATTACAAAGGAATAAATATGGATGAGTGAGTGAATGGGTGTATGGGTGGGTACTTGACCGGGGCTAGGGAGTGGCAAGTTTTCAATGTGTGAGGATGATATATGCGTTTTTTGTGTGCGGTTATGAGTGCGTGGATAATTTAAATCCATTTAGTGCGAATGGACGGAGTGATTGCACTTTATGTGCCGGAGGAGGAGAGCATGTGTGGTATGTTTCGAGTGCGTGGGTGACTTGAATGTTTTCTGCATGTCGGTGGTTAAGTATCGTGAATGATTTTAGTATGTCTCTACAAAAAGTGGAGAAAAACGGACAAGCAAGGCCCTTGAGGAGCCCACGGTATCCT